AAAATTAGTAGTGTGGAGCAGTGTATATATTTGAGGTGGTGATTTGTGAAGTAGCCCAGTATTGCCTTAAATAAAAACACATTTCATTTCTTGTTTTATACATGTGATCTTATAAAGGTTATTTTTGTTTCTGTAACTTAGATTGGTGTATAGTTTAATTTTTGTTAAAAAAACAAAGCAAAACAAAAAAACTTCAAAAACCGTTTTTGTAAATAGTGGGTTTATAAAACAGATGGTTTATTTTGATAATACCAGTTTGGTATCTATCTATAAAATACACAAGTCCTTATGCCATACCATTATAAACTAAATAAACAAGGCACTTTCTGAATGGGAAGTGAGATTGTGATCTTACAGAGAAACTCGGTGGTTGTGCTCTGTTGGTGGCATAGGCTCCCTCTGCGCTCTTCTGCCTCTTGCTGACTGTATGTGGCACCACTCTCACAACCTCTCTTTTTCACACTGGAACAAGCCTCAGAAGCAGTGCTGCTTGTAGTGCCCGGGATTGGAGCAATTCCTCTGTATGCTGCTAACTGAAATGACAGGTATCCCATTTGTTGAGTAACCAAAAGTGTGAATGCATTGGTGGGAGCTGTCAGTACCCAGGAATCTTCAGTGTTGGTTTTCATGTGTGATTATGTTTGACTCAGCCAGCTGGATTGTGTGGTACCAAAAATTTTTCTTGGATTATTCTCGTTACTGGATGTGACCTACCTTCAGTAATATAAAATAGTCTTTATCTTGGGTGAGATTGGCTGGATTTCGTTTTTTTTCTATCAACTTCTCTTGCCATGTAAAGCTTTGCATTAAATGCTACACTTGATTGCTCATAAGATATTCACCTGGAATCTCTGACAGTTTTCCTGAATATCAGTGCAGAGGGCACCTTCCTACAACCAAATGAAGTGGATTATGTATGAAACAGCAGAAAGACAACAGCATTTCACCTTGGGCACAGCCCTTGGTTTGCTACATGGTGCTAAATTGCTTACCTTCACAGAAAGCCCGTGCTTCCATTTGAACAGAGCCCGTTGGCTCCTCTCACTTTCCATCCCTCTCAAGTGACTAAACTGATAATTTTGCCAAGTTAGTAAATCAAAGGTGCGGTCTGAAGATGATAAAACCAAAAGAAACCCTTGCATTTTGACTCTAGGAGTGATCATTATAATCATTACAAGTACATGGTGCCATGTTCTACCTGCCGAGGCCGCTGGTCCCCTTGAATGGAGCTTCTCTTGAATACCAGCCACGGTGATTGTAGAGGGAACTTCTGCAGGGGGAAAGAGGGCAGACATCCTCTGCAGGGGATCCACAARGTTCGCCTGATTTCTCTTGCTTTCAGCCCTACCTAACCACTGACCTCGCAACTGTTAGTCTTTAGAAGAATGTTTGTGTTGTGTGAGTTGGATAGTTTCAACATTCCTGATGATTGATACTGTATCATTTGCAGTTCTTGGACTGAGAATAGCATACAACTATTTAGCTACACAGTGCTATACTAGAACACTATTTTAAAAAAGGATAAAAATTTCAAAGTCATAAATACCCAGGAAATAATTTCTGATTTGGGTCTGAGTTTCTGAAAATAAAGTATTTAATACTGTCTCATTTCCATCTRTCCACTTAAAGCAGGTGCTGTACCAGTATAGTTAGTACCTTCCATGGCAYCCTCCCTTTTAGGTGGTTACTGACAGCCTGTCCTACAGGTAAGCTACTAAGGGGTTTGCTACTCCTTTTTAAAAAACAAGCTTACTTTAAACTTAAAGTGGGGTATCAAAGACGGGGTCTGATTTAAAATGTCACAGACTGCAGAGGGCACTCTAGTTTGGTGTTGGCCACCTACAGAAACTCCCAAGGAAATAAATTGGTTGATTTTATTTAGATGTTTTACCTTGGGTGATACAGAAGACCTGCCATCCTCTAACAGTCAGAGCATGCCTGGATGGGCAGCTTCTCTGGGGCCTGAAGCCACACGCTGGCCCTTGGGGCTGCTGGTTGGAATGGGGCTCTGAGGTGGCGAAGCCCGGTTGTACCAGCAGCACTTCAGCCTGCAGGGTGTCCCGCACGTGCTCTCAGCCCTTGGGCCGAGCCCTTCTCTGTCTTCTGCCTTGTGCATCTTCCTCTGTGTCCAGAACTCTGCRTTCTAGAACTGACACCCATTAACTGCAGCATTCAAGCAAAGGCACTTCCTTTTAAACCYCTTGTTGCCATCAGGAATGTGCTGGCTAAAGCAGCAGTTGCTGATGGGGAAGCARCCAAATTGAGGAGTCTATCTGCATGCAGAGTATGGACTGTTTTGTCATGGAAAGATACCGTTAAACTGACTGCTTCTCTGGTGCTCAACTATGTTYATAAAGAAAGCTGCGGTTATCTGAGCCCTAATTCAGTGTAAATAAGAGTTGTGGGTTTGTCCCCACGTGTTTCAGGGTGGCTCTTCTCAGCAACACGGGGGCCCTGTGGGTTCTAGAGAATTACACTGGGACATTCAGTCTATGGCTGTTGGATAGAAAGTGCGCAATACTTGTACAAGTAACACTGGAATCAGKTGTTGAATCAAGTGAGGGGAGAGTAGTTGACTAATTGTTGCAATTCGTTTCTGTGCCAAAGAATTAGTTGGCTGGGGCTCCCAGTGGTGTGGGCAGGGACAGGCTACCCTGGGATTTAGGTCCCTGAGCTGGAGAAGCTGTTCATGCCCTGCCTCAGCCCAGCCTGGAGCCTTGGTATGGAGATGATACAATTAGAGGGCTGGGAGATGGGGCCACTGATACTGGAGAAGGGAGTAGAGGGAAGAAACTATCAGTAAATAGGGAATTGGTTTTTTTTCTGTGTCTTTTTTCAAACCTTCTGTCCCAAGGCAAGGAACTTACTTGGGTTTTAAAGAAAATGAGAGTCTGTGTAAGACATGGGTCTTTTGATGTTTGCAGGGATGTTTTGAAATATGAATGAGGTAAATATTTTTGTATGAATGTACATGCAGTGATCATGTTATTTCTCCGTTACAGTATGGGTTCAGATTAGTTTTCTATCAATTGCTTATATCCTTGTGGAACATAGCACTTGAGTTAAATTTTTTCAGATGTTGTCTGAGTAACTCAGAAGCTTAGGGACCAAACCTGTAAACTCATTTGAACCAAAAATGTAATAGCAAATGCCTTCAGGAGTGCATGGATGAGTGAAACTTAGACGGAGGACAAAGGCATGTAAAAGTGGGGAAAGGGAAGGAGCCAGTAAAAGACCAAATGGTTGCCAAGAGCAAGGGTTCAGAAAGCAGATGAATTTGTTTCTGTTCTTCTCAGGTTAAGTGATGGTTATTTCCTTTTCATTAGTAGCCCTGTCAAACACATTTTGCAGCACATGATGTGAAGGCTACTTGGTGATTTGCTGCAAGTAAGTCGGGTTATGTGGAGTTGGTCCATAATAATAATTTTTCAGAATATTTCTTATGTAAGGTACTGGCTTTGTCAAAATTGAATTATCCTCCTAGACTCAGAATGTTGATTTTGAAATTTACTGATCATTTCTTGGCTGTTGGAAGATAGAATTAAAAATAAAACTTTGAATATACATTCCAAAGATTTAGAGTTTTTGTTTCATGGGAAAATTTTTGATCTAAGTGGGAATCTCTGACCAGCCACAGAACTTTAGGGAATGCTTTAAAACCMTTCAAGCCCTGACTTAATACACTTTTTCATTAGAGAGCAGCTAATACACTAATTTTATCAGAAACCTGTGTTGGCTAAACTGTGTTTGCTTCATTTTCTCTCAGATAAACCCTACTTTAAAAACAGTGAATAAATATTTTTTCATTAATGKGCTCTTAAAAATCTGTCCTCAATTATTAAAATCCAGATATTTTTGAAAWATTTTTTCCTTTGATAGTGTTGCCCTTATTTTAATTCTCAGTTACTTAAGCTGTGGCATTGTAGTTTCACAGGGTTCATGGCGGTGGTTTTGCTTCATGCATTCTTTGGTGGGTTTTGTCCAGTACCTGTAAAATACTTTCTAATTGCATTTCTGCCATGAGCTACACTCCGTATATGTAGAGGTTTAACAGAAAATGTTCTGAATCTTGCAAAGCGCCTTATCTCTATATAAGCACTGATTCAGCATCACTCAGGATTTAAAATTTACTGTCCATAAGCTGRCAAGCTGGTGTCTGAGGGACTGTTTTCACTGCTAAGTTCAGCAGCACCAAATATCTTTCCATATTTTAGTAGAGTAGGTTTATAGAAAAGTATGTTTATTTTAGGGAAAAAAGACAACAAACCTAACCCTGAAAATTGCCATCAAAAGTTCATAGTTTGTTCATTGGTTCCTAAAGTTCTGTAACTTCTACTTACAAATGTAATGCTTTGTAACCAAAGCTGGGGGACCAGATGGGGCCCAAGTAAAAAAAAAAAAATTAGTCAACATGCTTTTGCTACTGCTTATTCCTCCATATCTTGGTATGAACAATAAAATTAGGCATTCAGGCAGCTCCACTTTAGTTGGTGTTTTTCTTTAAACAGTGCATTTTGATCAGGCTCAGTACTGGATGTATGTCCCAAGGTCTTTCATTCCAGCAACAGAAAGAGAACACTACCCTGAAAAAAGTTTTTTAAGGCACTACTTTCCATTGTCTTAGAAGCCTGGGCTCAACAGAAGAGACATCTTAGCTAATTTCTCTCCCTTTTTCCTGTTAGCCCAAACAACACACATGAAAAAGAGCAGAGATGTGTGGTGTTTAAGAGATCCTTTGAAATTTTGGGGGAGGGAATAGATKATTCTCTTTTTACCTTGTTTCTACTGGAGGCTTTTCACATTTTTAGATTTCACATGTTCTTCTACAGCAGAGAAATCTATTGAAGGAGTAACTGTATTATCAGCCTTACTAAAGGGACCACATTCTAGGCTACTTAATACTAGGGACCACTGGCTACTGTTCCGCCATATGGTGTGGTCTGCATTTCTCTATTCAGATCCTACCCAAGTGGGAATGATCTGTYGATTTAAATGTCACAACCACAGATCAGAAGACAAGTCTGATGACTTGGGAGCTGCTTGGTGCAGGTGACCAGAAGTTAACTCTATACCCTGCTATATGCTGCTTGCACAAGTTTGGGCAAGTGCCTTTCTTAAAGGATGCTTTCTGAAGATTAATACCCTAACAACAGTAAGGGCTCAGATCATTCCAGAAGAAGGTGCTCCACAAACAGCTAAATAACCAAATCTGTCTTTATCACCATGGGCTAAAATAGATGTGTCTACCTCTTAGTTTTTTTCATTTTTTGAGATGTTTTGTAGTAGTCCAATGACTATGCAGCTCCCTTCAAGGCACCAGCTGTCACTCTGCCAGCACTTTCCCACTGCCATTTCAACAGTTACCARATCTGATCCACCCACATGGCAAATGCTGTACATCCCCTTAATGTTCAACTTATCACTCCCAGGTTCTTCCTATCTCTGCATATAAAAAGCTCTTTTTGCTTGTACCAAAGCAATTCTGTGTAATATTCAGTACACAACTGTTTGAGCAATTGTTTCTGCATGATTTATCATAAGCATCTGTGTTTATATTAAAGCTTCATGGAATTCTCAGACTTCTACTTTCCTTGTTTCAGCATGAAAAGATCTCGATTATTCTATGTATGACATACATAATGTAACTGAATTTAGCAGCTCAAGTAATGGGAAAYTAATAGAGAAACAGTATTTCCTATGTAACTATCCTTTCAGTTCTGCAAAGCAGTGTTTGGAAAAGCAATTTGTCAAAAACAGCATGTGTAATGGGAGGGTGGTCTCCAGCCTTCTTTCAAGTCAGCGGGGAAGGTTTTTCATGTTCATCTTGCATATTCAGAGGCAAAGATGAGGAACTGTTGTGGAATTGTCCTGCAGCTGCTGCTCTGTTGTACCTGATGAGTTCTGATTCGCAGCAATCGCTTTTTGAGCCTTGCTGTTTCTTCACATGTCTCTTCAGATAACATTTTATGGAGTATTTGAAAATCAGATAACTCAGTTCACTTAGATTTAATACGATGCAGAGGCATGAAGTTGCCACCAGAAAATAGAGGAAAATCATCTTCTCTGTGGGTTTGGAAATATAACAGTCTACGGTATTTGGACATGGTTTTATGTCGCATTTCACAAGAYGTGGTATTTTGAATCCATTGTACAATTTATAAAACAGAACAAGAAAAACTATTTCAAGTCCTGTTTTTAAAATGAGGCTGATTAAGTAAGTRCACAGCAATCCACCATCTATCTTTCCTGGATTTCTGTAAAATTTCTGGTTGTGGTGTTTTTCTCTGTTCTCTCTGTAAGCAACATGAAAGACAACCAAGAGTGAAGGGGTGGAGACCATGATTAATTGCAAAGCCCAAAGTCTGATGTGAGAGACAGGGAAAAAATGGTCAAAACAGACATTTTCACAACCAGGCTGCTTGATATTGCACTCAAATTCATCATGTTCGTGTTTCCAGATGTTTTCCGCAGCAGCAACATAAACCAGTAAGCGGAACATGAACACGACAGCTACCCAAATTCTTCCAATTCCTGTTGAGTATTTGTTCACCCCGCTCAGCAGATCACGTAGGAACGCCCAGCTCATATTTTTCTTCAAGGAAAGAAGGAAATGCTGTATCAAAGAAACACAAGATCAGAGAGATGCCTCCTCTGGTGTGAAGAAAAATGAGACATTCATTCAACATGAAATATAACCAGTAGCTGAAACAATTTGCAATTGTTAAGCATTTTAAAGCAATTTAATATTATTAAGCATTTAAATAAGARCAACAAGCTGTTCTTATTTCTGATAATTTATTGATTCTGATACATTGAACAAAATTTATTTGCTGTTTAAATGCATTTTATTGTATTGTTTTGAAGTCTAATCATTCTGTTAAGCTGTCCTCTGTGAGAAACATGCCTGTTCTCTCTGAGGGTCTCCTGACTGTCAGGTAGGGCTTTCTCTGGCAAGTTCAAGCTGGCACTATCACTGAAATACACTCAATTTATCCCTGTCATTTATGCAAATACTACACATAGTCAAGTCAGATTTTTCTTTCAAATTTATGCGTAAGAGCCAAGTGTCCCATAAGGACTACAAAAATGCAAATTGATTTCTTTTTGTCTGTGGTTTAACTTTTGAGTAAACTTGTGCAATATTTTAAATCTGTTCCCGCTTCATTGGATTTTACTTGTTGTATTTCTTATCGTAACTCCAAAATACGTGGGTATGTGTGTGTGTTATAGGTTCTTATCCACACAAATGTTMCCCTGTCCTAACTCTGGGATGCTTCTTTTGGAGGAGCTGCCTAAGGAGCCACTGGCAGTGAGACTCATCAGAGTGAAAAGAAGACCTGAGATACCCACCAAGAATATGCAGTCACCTTTGCACCTGGCCCCATCTCCAGGTCTGAGCGGATCTTTGAGGGTATCAAGCTCCTTTGTTTTGTAATGGCAAAAAGTGGATGTATTCCCAGGACAGAGTGGCTGGGAGACGTGAGGTGAGCAGGGAATTAAGAAGTTTCCAGATTTTTGCGTTCTGTCATTTAAAGCCCTCATTCCATCTTCTGCATCTGCCAGCTCTGCCTAGCAGGAGAGAAGATGTACCCTCTGTGGCTGCAGTGGCACATGCAAATGACTGCTGATGCAGTGAATGAGTTCTACTGGCAAGTTTTAGTATAAGTAGTAATCAGGCCACAGCATCACAAAGCTTCATGGAAGAGGTATTCAGACATTGGAATTTGCTGCCCAGGGAGGTAGTGGAGTCACAGTCCCTCAAAGTGTTTGAGAAACAGCTGGACAGGGCACCTAGTGCCAAGGTCTAGTTGACAAGGTGAGAATTGGTCAAAGGTTGRACTCAACCTTGGAGGTCTTTCTCGACCTAAATGATTCTGTGACACTGTAAAGCTCAACACAGATGGAAAGCTCAGTCTTTTGCTKAGCTTTTGCTGTCCCTCACTCAGTTCTGCAGCCCTGCATGACCTCTGCTTATGGCCAAACTTCTGCTGGGAAGCAAGGTTATTTGGATATTCCTGCATTGCTACCATGAGAGCAGAGGACTCTTTTGAGGAGCCGAGGGACAGCTGCAGAAATTAATATATTGCTGATTTATACTGGGAAGAATGGTTGCCAAGCTACTGCTTTATGCTGCAGATRAAAAAGATAACAGGGAAATATCAGCTTAAATCCTTTCAGACATATGCTCCTAAGCTTTTAAATATGTTTGGCAGGGTGATTACTTTTTCATTAAAGATCTATTTCTGTCTTCCACGTCTGCAAACAGAGTTCAAGCAGAAGTTTAAATCAAACTTTTGAAGACATCAACTTCAGTGCTTTTATGCTTTCTAAATAAGTAACACACAGCCACAATAGTCTCAAAGGAGCTGAACAGCAAACATGAAGATACTAYTATGTAATAAATCACAGGCAAGGAAAAAAAGCATTCACTGAGCAAGAGTGAATGTTAGCACATGTGTGTTGTGTGGATGAGTTGTCCTCTGGATGAACTGAGCCTTCCCTAAGGCTTTAAGATGTGCACAAGGACTAATGGAGTGAATKCTAAATTTTGTTATTCCATGGAAAACAAGTATGGCTGCAAGGGGGCTTTTGCTGATGGCCAYTGTAACTGCACCATCCCTTTCTAATATAAAAAGCCTGATGTCACCTATCAATCCTTGGATAGAGTTACATCAGTTCTGAGCCTCCAGGTGGACAGAAATGAGAAATAAGCTGGGTCACCAGCAAGGCACAAAAATCAGTGGGAACCATTATGGTAGAAATCAGGCCACGAAAATAGCTAAATACAGATTACAAAATTTAGCTCGAGGTCTCTTCTTCCCAAAGCTGAGCTGCTAATTCCTTACCTGAGCAACAAGAGGGATTAGAAAAGAACAACTTTACACTTTGCCAATCCCACATTGAGAAGAACAGTACGAAGGAGAAAAAGAAGTCCTGACCAAAGAAAATGGGGATCAAGATTTTGACTAAAATCTCCAACAGATCCTGAGCAAGGGGCAAATTCTCACCAGCCAGAAGGTTGGATGGATAAAATTATTGCAAAGCTAGTTTGAAAGAGACCAACACATTCTGCTACCTAGATGTTTGGTAATGAGGCATCAGGGATTCCACAGAACTGAAGATGGTTCCCAGTCTATGTGCTCTGTTGAAGAGAAACTGAAATTAATTGGAGGACTGCAGGGCAGGTCTTGTGGCCAGCAGTGCTTCTGCAGCCAGAGGCCTGCAGAGCTTTGGTTATATTTTTTCCACTTGCAGCCTTCACTYGATACTGAGAAATGGCTATGGAAAACAACCTTCAGTTTCAAGCTTAAAGGACCACAGAGCCACAGTTTCATAGTATTGTTTGAGTTGTAACCAGCACAGCTCCTCTCCTCAAAAGAGCTGCAAATGTGCTTTGAAAAGGTGGTGTTTGCTTTATGCACCACTGTTGCTATAGAYGTGGATGTTAACTGATGCTTTTGTATCCTTTAAAAACACAATTAATTCACTGAAGCATTGCAAAGAACAAATGGAACAAAAAAAATAAAACTGACTTCAAAGATGAGGAGTTACTCAACAGGTAAACAAGAGAAAATTGATTTAATGGCACAGCAGAAGCACAGATTGATGAGCGATTAAGTTAGCTGAGGCTAGAGAAGACATACATTAAGTGGGCTGTATGAAATTCAGAGGAAGGTGAGGATTCAGATAAAAAAAAAAATCATCTAGTGAGCACACAGCTGGGCAGTAGGAAAAATATGGCAATGGTATGAGGTTTTGTAGCACTTCAAGAAGTGTCATTACACATGGCAGCAGATGCTGAGTAATGTCAGGGCGTGATGCTTTAGCAAAATTRTATTCTGGCTAACCTAAAGACAAGAGAGGAAAAGTGTGATCCAAATCCTTGTAGCCAAGGAGAGATTTCAGCCTTAGCATCCAGATAAGGTTCATTTTGTGCAGAAAGAAACAAAGGGAGTCAAGAAGGAAAGCTGGCTAAAGAAACTGAGTAGATTTTGGGAGATGTAGATGAGATCAATTTGCACTGGGCTAATGTACAATGTAAAAATGAAATTACTCAAAGTTTTAAAGTTACAAAAGTGTTAAAGGGGGATCCCTTTGGCACTGTGGACATAAAAACCACTGAAGAGACTTGGCTTCTACTGGAAATTACCAAGGAGACATTAGAGAGTCTTAAACAGTAGATTATTTTCACTTAGTGCTCAAGGAAATATTGAATGAAACAAGAAGTGAAAAGCAAGGATTTGAGGTTTACTTCAGCCCTCTGCTCAATACACACATGCACACCCCAGTTCAAAGAAAAGCTGAAGATTAGAAATATGTTGATTTGTTTTAYTCATTTCTAGCTGAAGTACAAGTGATAAGCATGAAAAAAAAAGAACTGCCAGTCAGGAAATAGAGCAAGTAATCTCTCTTCCTCATCACATACATCATTTATTCCCTATTTAAACACCAACCCCCCAACACACACAAGCACTTTGTCCTGCTCATGAGAGGCACAAATGACCAGAAGAGGCTGCCCACCCCCCATTTCCCTCACATCTATCAGTGATTTGGTTTTCCCCGTTGAGGCTGGGCACATGTTCTGCTGAGCAAACAGAGTAACCTGAATGCGCCATTAACTTCTGAGTGTGCTGAATGTACTTTATTGAGTAAAGTGTTTGAATAATGYTATTGTTGTTGAATATATTCATCAAATATTCATTTCTGTCATTCACTGAGGCCTACAGGAGGTAGGCTAATATGCATTGAGTAATGTATCCATTGAAAAGCACAGTGCTCAGAGAATTGCTTCACCTAGATTTCTATCAGCTCTGCAAATTTAATTATTTTAAAAGCAGAAAAGGTATCTTTGTGTAGAGGAAAATGGCAATGGGGAGGGCAGAGGCAGGGAAGGAAGAAAGTGCAAGAATAAACTGAATAACTGGAAAGGAAGTGGGGAAGCATCCTATGTGTTAGAGGCACAAAGAGGGGAGGCAACTTGGAGCTCAAAGAGCTGGAAAATTACAGGAAGAAGGCACAGTATAACAGGAAGTAGAGATGGAACAGTCAGAAATAAGAGAAAGAACACAAGCTTCTGAACAGTCGATCTATCAATTCTGTACAAGGAAACTAAATTATCCTCACAGTCTAAGAAATGYAAGAGCTCCTTTTTCTGATCTAAACATTGCTGGGGAGTATTTGCTGCACCTACAACTTACTTTTATTTTTCTTATAACAGGAGGAAAGATAATTGTAAATAGTGGAAAAAATTATAAACGAGAGAGCAGAAATAGAAATCACAGAGAAGGATACAGGATCAGAAAAATGCAGAGCTGGTAACAATCTTTAGAATCCATTCTCTTTTTTTTTTTACACTAATCAAAACATCATCACAGCACTTTTTTTTTCCAAGCACCAAGGATCATTGCAGTGTTATGAGGAAAAGAAAAAACAAGTACTGGCACAATGGTTTCCATAAACAACCAAACAAATAATGAATCTTAACTTCAGATGTTCATTTAGTAACTGCATTTCCCCCTTATCTTTTCTGTTTGTTGATATAAGGAGGTGTGCATCCATTTTATGGTTGCTGAGTCTTTGTTTCATGGACTTCCTACTGCTTCCTCA